CGCCCTTGCAGCGTGTCTGCTGCCCTTACAGCTCTCTCCCCTCCCTAGGCGGGCCCTGGAACTTTGCCTTCACCGTCAAGTTTTACCCTCCAGACCCTGCCCAGCTCACCGAGGACATCACAAGGTGAGGATCACCCCTCCACGGGCACAGCTGCTCCCAGGGGACAGGCTGGCAGCCTGGGGAGGGGCAGGACATGGGCAGCTGGGAGATGTCAGAGGGCTCGTTGCCCTCCCACCGCCTTGGCATGTCTAAATCACACAGAGTGGTGTGGAGAAGGTGGCCACGGGAGGTGGCCATCCCTGCAGAGAGCATTGTGAGGTGGGGGGGGTGCTGCTGCTTTCTGGGGGGCCCCAGCCTGCTCTGGCGGGGGGTGCATGTGCCTCCGCCCCGCTCTCAACCTCTGCCCCCTCCCGCAGATACTACCTGTGCCTGCAGCTCCGTGCGGACATCATCACGGGGCGCCTGCCCTGCTCCTTCGTCACGCACGCCCTCCTGGGCTCCTACGCTGTGCAGGCCGAGCTGGGCGATTACGATGCTGAGGAACACGTGGGCAACTACGTCAGCGAGCTCCGCTTCGCCCCCAACCAGACGCGGGAGCTGGAGGAGCGCATCATGGAGTTGCACAAGACCTACCGGTGAGCCCCGGGAGAGGACGGGCTGGCAGTGAGGAAGGCATCAGACAGCTGGCCCACCTGGCCACCTGTCCCCTTCTCTGTCTCCCTGCAGGGGAATGACCCCTGGGGAAGCGGAGATCCATTTCCTAGAGAACGCCAAGAAGCTCTCCATGTATGGGGTAGACCTGCACCACGCCAAGGTACGGGGCCACAAGGCCACCAGAGTGATGGGCAGTGCCACTCCCTCCCACCCTGCTGCCCGTGCACACCTCCCTACCCATCCCCTTCCTCCCACAGCAAGGGTTCAGTCCTGGGCAACCAGGTCTGGGTGGCCCTGGTTGGACCAGAGGACCTCCAGAGATCCAACTTCAACGAGTCTGTGATTCAGTGGCCTCTCTGTCAGCCAGTCCACCAGCACAGAGCATCGGGCAGGAGGCTGTGTGGCACTGCTGGCTGAACTGGTTCTTACTGGGCAGCTCAGCAGTCCCTTCCTGTCCCTCTTGTCTTCTCCAGGACTCAGAGGGCATTGACATCATGCTGGGTGTCTGCGCCAACGGCCTCCTCATCTACAGGGACCGGCTGAGGATCAACCGCTTCGCCTGGCCCAAGATCCTCAAAATTTCCTACAAGAGGAGCAACTTCTACATCAAGATCCGGCCGGGTGAGGTGAGTGCCGGGCACCAGCAGCGCGGTCCCAAGCCGTGGCAGGGTGTCTGCTCTGCTTGGCTGGGAGGTCCTTGCCCCAAGGCTCCCAGCTTAATGGCCGTGCTGGCCAAGAGATCACATCTCCTGTGGCATGTGGAGGCTTTCAGCGAGGGCTTTCTTGCTGGTGCTCTTATTTTCTCGCTGGCAAAGTGACTTCAGCAGATGGAGGGCACTGCTGGCTCCTTTCTCCACCAGCCAGAAACCGTGACCCCACTGGTGTAGGGAGATCGCCCAGGAGTTGGGGGTTGAAGGCCATTTTTGATTTCTCTTCCATGTTTCAGAAAAAAACCCCAACCAAATATGAGGAGGCTTTTTCATTCATTTTCTGACATTATTTTCACATTTCACTTTTCGTGTGCACTGATGGGAGAATGCATTTCCACCCACGTTTTCCAGCAGGCGGGAGGGCAAGGACGGTGCAGCTGAAATGGAGAGTGACGACCTCTCGCCAAAATGATCTGTAAAAGGTTTTGGTTTCTTGAGGGAATTCGTCTTGCAGCAACAAAGCCATTTGCAGTTGCGGGAAGCGCTTAGGCCAGAAGTGCGGGGGTGTGATCCCACCACTCAGCAGGGCTGCGCATGGACCTTCCCAGCGCTGCTTTGAAAATTGTTGGGATTTTTTTTGCATGGTCATGGCTCCTGCCAGGGGAACATGAGGGCCTTGGCAAGGCAGGTCCCAT